AAGGCTAGAAATGTTTCAAACTATTTCTTATCAAATAGGTATTGAGCTAAATGAAATTTCTCCTAAGCAAAAACTTGACTTTCTTATTCACGGTGAAACTCTGGACGATGAGAGCGGCTGCGCGGTCGCACATCTCTTTCAAAAATTCATTTTATCATCAAACCGGTTTACAGAACACTAAATTCAACACCAAGATACCACCTTGATCTAGGTTGTCAGGCTGCGGTTGGACGTGGCGCTCCGGGCTGACCGTGCGGTGGCTCGCGCACACTGCTTTACTGCTCGGTGTCTGTCGTGGCGGCGACAGCCAACTCGTATACTTTGAGTTTTGCCTATCAAATGTTTTCTGTATCTTAATTTTAGGATCTCATCTGGTATGTTTTTGTCTGTTTGTTTGTATTTTCTTCTTCCAGAGTGATGCTCAAACTCAAGCGCTTTGTGCTTTTGCATCCCTCTGCTGCATTCTTCCGGAATCTTTCTGTCTTTGATAATAAACATTGTGTGTGTGTGTGTGTGTGTGTGTGTCGGCCGTGTACCGAGCTGGGACCAAATTAGACCAGTTGTCGCAACTAGTCGCTCCGGGAGCGATGGCGGTACGCCCCAGGACTTCTCCGTACCGAGCCGCATGTGGTAAGCGTACTCGGATATGAGGAAAGTTTGGAGAGCTTTCATGGTATACATAATGCTGGCGGGAAGCGAATGTAATTTGCAAATAATGCTGCGAAGTGATTAAGTTTTATTCCACACGATTTAAGCTAATTGAAGCCATCTACAATACTATATTGTCCGCGAATATTGTTGGGATTTACCACCACGAAGAAACGGTTACATACATCATGCGATTGTTATCAGTTCCATCTTTCCTCGAACAACCAATCGTAAGATTCGTTCTGCAAACTGTGACTTCCATCCCTTATATTGAGGGCGTGCAATCGATCCAGCATTAGGGCGTTTCTTCATTACCAGGTCTTCTATTGGAGATCAGATCAGTTTCATAGATCATTCACGTCAAAACCGTTCGGTTTGGTCTAATTCAGGCGACGGAGCTGCCAATCAGATGCCAGACATGCTTCATCAAGGACTAGTTATTGGACTTGCGAAGCTGAGGCTGAATTCAAGCCCGACTCACGAGTAAGTTTACGTATATCTCCTGCATGGAGGTTGGAACTGCAGCCTCCCTTGGACTGCAGCCTTGTGCTGTTGGCAGTGGCATTGATTAGTTCACCTGTCACCTCTCGTGGTTGATATCATAATCATACTTAGGAAGGTGGAGACATGGCGTGGCATGTTGGACTGATTCCGCACGGCACGAAGGGAAATTCGTCACCAACAATATTTCGTGACTGGTGCAATAAACCTAGTATGGATCTGACAAAACATATCCGCGCTTATCAGCCTAGAACGTCATGTATGCGGTAACAATGGTGTAACAGTATCAAAATTCAAAGAAGTCGCCGTTGCACTGGTGGAAATGTGATACATTTGTTCACGGTGACTACATTTGTTGGTATACCAATTCAATACGACCAGTCAGGATGACTGGATGACAGGAGGAGCCGAAAACGTCAACTGGATGAAGTTCTCCCATTGATTACAATTTCTTTATCTTGTAAACAGTGAATGTATGCGTAGAAGGCATGCAACTACGATACACTACTGCGTCTGCAGCTGCCAATTTGTGAATGAATATAATATGAAAAAAGCGGAGATTGCATCAACAGCTTTTTATTTCCCCATAAACACAGAAAAAAGAAGCCCGATAAGCACACCAAGCTATTGCCTATTTACCCACCTCTATTTCAAAATAAAAGCACTGGAGTCCAGAAACGGATGTAAGGTTAATTTCTCTAAAGAGCTATTCTTTTAGAACTCAGTTCTCCTCATACGGACAGTTTAGTGTGGAGTGAAACTGGGCGTCCGTCTACCGGAAACTGCCACCGACACTGTATTCAGAAATGCAGCGTCTCGATCCGAGTTTATTTTTGCGGGACTCGGGGGAACAGAACTTCGTCCGTGACGTGCTCCGACCTCAACTTCAGAGGGAAGTAGTTGGCCAAGTTCTGGACATTTAGAACTGAAGAGCAGTTGGGCGATACTCAGTCCATAATGCTGTCAAATTTGATCAGGAAGACGATCAGTAATGTTTGCTCATCTTGGATTGATGTGCAGATGATGGTGATGAGAAGCATTTCCTTTAATAATTATTAGAAAAAAAGATAAGCTGATCTAAATTGCTAGCTAAATGTTATTCGATAAAGCTGACGTTTTATAAGAACAGTTACAAAACATTGACAAGATGATAGCAGCTAGGATTATGACAAGGCAATTCCGATTGTGGAACGACGGGGAGGAATTATGTCGTATATGGTGCTGCGCAGTACGCACATATGAATATTAGGAAAGCAAGTGCTCCTTTGTCATTCTTTACCACGGCGAAAATGCTAAGATCTAAGCTAAACGTTCATAAATGCGCTGCCACTGTTCTTTTGTATATGTTACAGGGAGTATGAGAAATCAGTTAGTTTGCAAACTACCTAGGGAGTTTGCAAACTCCCTGAACGATCAGGTAGTTTGCAAACTCCCTAGGTAGTTTGCAAAGTACCTGGTCGAACAGGTAGTTTGCAAACTCCCTAGGTAGTTTGCAAAGTCCCTAGTTAGTTTGCAAACTCCCTAGGGTTTTTGCAAACTACCTATAGGTAAAATGCAAAAACGACGAAACAACAGCCATATACGAGTACATATGTAGATAAGACGCGATGAATTGGTTCATAGCTCAGAATGAAGCTTGGCAGCAATGGTGCATAACGAGACGATGTGGTGTTTTGATGACGCTCTGTCGCAGCTAACTATTTATTTTTGTCTTGCTCGCAAATATCACCTTACAGATTAATGTCTGCCTTTTTTCTTGTAGTCGACAACATGCTACGATGCCATCCACCTCCTTTCCTTGGACGTCAGCGGCCTCTCCTCCACCGGTCTGGCGTCCATCAGAAAGCGGATGACGTCGCCATGCTCGGCGTCTTCCACGACTCGAGTTATGCCGCTCAGCGCTTCCTCCCACTCCCGGAACCTCTGATCGAACAGTTCGTGAGACATCCCCAAGAACCACAGAGCAACCACAAATCAGAAACTGCGATCACTATGCTGCCTCTCCACACTCCGCTCAGCACTGATGACTCGCCAGCACTGTGCACCGTCCACCAGCCGTGACCCGACAGCGCCTTTCATCCGTATCCCGCAGGCACACACTGACCTGACCTGTTAAGCTCAGGGCAGTCGACTGCTGGCTACCAGGATCGGGTGGAAGCGGGGCGTTGGGTTGACTAAAGATGACATCCTGATTTCTAACCCGCGCCCCGTAGGGGGGGGGGGGGCGGGGCCGAAACGGCCCCCTGTCCTTTTCCGTCAATATCTCCAAACGGCTGCAGCTATCGCCATCAAACTTTCAGGACTTCTCCGGGCATCAATTTTACACATTGTGACCAAAATTTTCCAGAGGCTATGATAGGTTGGCCATAAATGACGTCAGAATGACGTAATGTTCTGCCATTTTCGACCGAAGAAAGTGCTTCGCGAGAAGAGCTGTCAGACCTACAGCTTTGAAGATATAGAAAAATGATCAAGATATAAAAGGTGTGAAATCAACAGGGCTACAAATCTGCCATCTCGGATTTTTAAAATTTTTGTTTTTTGACCCCCAAAAATGAAAAATGAAATTGGATATATTACCCAAAAAATCATAAAAGATTTTTAAGTTTCGAAAAAACGGAAAATATATGATAGTGCCTACCAGTCAACCCAACGCCCCGCTTCCACCCGATCCTGGTAGCCAGCAGTCGACTGCCCCGAGCTTGACAGGTCAGGTCAGTGTGTGCCTGCGGGATACGGATGAAAGGCGCTGTCGGGTCACGGCTGGTGGACGGTGCACAGTGCTGGCGAGTCATCAGTGCTGAGCGGAGTGTGGAGAGGCAGCATAGTGATCGCAGTTTCTGATTTGTGGCTGCTCTGTGGTTCTTGGGGATGTCTCACGAACTGTTCGATCAGAGGTTCCGGGAGTGGGAGGAAGCGCTGAGCGGCATAACTCGAGTCGTGGAAGACGCCGAGCATGGCGACGTCATCCGCTTTCTGATGGACGCCAGACCGGTGGAGGAGAGGCCGCTGACGTCCAAGGAAAGGAGGTGGATGGCAACGTAGCATGTTGTCGACTACAAGAAAAAAGGCAGACATTAATCTGTAAGGTGATCCTAAGGTGATATTTGCGAGCAAGAAAAAATAAATAGTTAGCTGCGAAAGAGCGTCATCAAAACACCACATCGTCTCGTTATGCACCATTGCTGCCAAGCTTCATTCTGAGCTATGAACCAATTCATCGCGTCTTATCTACATATGTACTCGTATATGGCTGTTGTTTCGTCGTTTTTGCATTTTACCTATAGGTAGTTTGCAACAACCCTAGGGAGTTTGCAAACTAACTAGGAACTTTGCAAACTACCTAGGGAAGTAGGGAGTTTGCAAACTACCTGTTCGACCAGGTACTTTGCAAACTACCTAGGGAGTTTGCAAACTACCTGATCGTTCAGGGAGTTTGCAAACTCCCTAGGTAGTTTGCAAACTAACTGATTTCTCAAACTCCCTGTAACATATACACATGAGCAGCAAACGATACATCTTCAGCAGGCGTCTGCGGGTCGAATCCAGCCTCGTCGCTGAGTCTGAGCCCTGAGCCAACTCATCTGACACGTGGCGGTTTTTTATTATGTGTGATGCAGTTTTTGGTGTGGATTACATTAATGGCACGGATTTGCATTTTTCCAACAAAGTTTAATGCGTAGCAAAACTATGATATGCAGGGCCTCGGTTACATCTGTCAGATATCTGGTACCTCTTAAGTTTTCACGAGCACACAAAAACGAATAAAGTAACTTGTGCTAATGGAGTTAGCATGACAAGCTGCTACTTATCCACTCCGTTGCCATCTCATCCAACCCCAGGCGACTGACCTTTGGCGCCCTTGGACGCCGCCTGGCCTTGACCCGGGTCGGCATGTTTGGCCGGTCGGGTCACGACCTCGGGTCGCCGCGGGGCGTGGTACTCGGGGTCGCTCGGGTAGTAGGCGAACCGCCGCGGCGGGTGGACGGTGGACGGGTCCTGTGCCTTGCTCGGGTGTCGGACTGATGAGGGCCGCGGTGCCGGTGGTGGCTGCTTCTGCTGGGCTCGCTGTGGACGGGACAAATAAAACAGTCAGCTAGATCGCAGTCACTTTCTCTCACACAACGGGCCCAAAGCTCTGCCAGCGGGTACTGGGTACACTGGGTACAGAGGACCGCTCTATTGAGCTGTCGATATGATAATCTCTTCTGTCGTGTATGTCGTGTCCAGTTGGCTGGGTCAGCTATGTATATCGCTGAATGGAGCCGACGCCTGCCTCAGATCCACCCCATTGAGCCTGTCTATAGCCCCAGACTATCGCAGGTGGTCTTGGGCTGATAGACTGGCAGTGACAGTCCGACAGGATGACAGTCCCCCAGAGCGACAGGCTGTCGGTGACGGTCTACAGGAGCTGACATACTGTCGGCGATAGTCCTTCAGGGCGACAGGCTGTCAATGACAGTCCGACAGCCACTCCAGACAGCCTGTCGGGCGGATCGACGCCGTCAGACGCTCTCTCGAGTCTCGATGCACTGTAAAAAATATTGACTAGCCCCTCGTCAAATGATTCTCAACGCTAAGTGTCGGGGGTACAGACTAGTTTTGCATCCTACTTTTGACACACGCTGCGAGCCCCTGGCTTGTTGTGTTCGTCAGATGACAGTTACCAGGTGTCGGTTAGTTTTTAACACGTCCCAAAAATAGCTGGAGCGTTTCTGCCTTGTTTTGGAAGCAGGTCCTCGTTAACCCGCGCCCTGGTGGGGTCTGTTTATAACGCGACCTGGTGGGGGGGGGGGGGCTATTTTTTGCCCCCCCCCTCGTATCTCCGAAACTACTGGACGGATCCGCAAAATTCTAACGGCGTTCGAAAGGCCTGTCAAATTTGTCGAGGAAAACCAAATTTCATTGACCTCGGGGTCACCGATGACGTCACAGGTCAGGTCAAAGATGAAATGTTTCACCGTTCACGGGTCTTCTAGGGAATGCGCTATAACACCGAGGAAAACGCATTTTGTCGAGACGATAGGCGTTATCACAAGTGTATTCGCGGCCATTGGGGCGACGTAAGAAAAGAAAAACCAACTGGCCCCAAGAACTTTAAATTATCAGTTAGCATGCACCTTTTCCTTGATGTATAGAGAATTTACCATTATTTGTTACAGAAAATTGCATTTAAATTCTTCCATTTATGCTTTTTTCATCGTTTGCACAATATGTTCTTTTACTAAGCTAGAAACACTAATTAGAAATAGTTCCCGCATCATCAAGAACTATAGGGAAGGCTTGAAGTGAATAAAATAAATTAAACGGTTTTGTTATCTATGCGAAAGCACTTCTAAAATTGCCTGTAGAAATATTGAAGGCAAAAGTTCAACTTTTTCACAAGACGGATGTCTATAAACCTATTTAACTTGTGACAACTCAGCCGGTATTTCGTCGCCTACAGCCCAGCTTTCCCTAGTGACCGATAGAGGCGCTGCTATCGATGTCCGCCCGTGCCGCCTAACGAATCAGCGATAGGGCGTCAGTTGCCTAGTAGATATATTACTATTAGAGGTCACTGACAATACCAGGTCAGGTCACAGGTCAGGTCACCAAGGGTCACAGGTCAGGTCACATGAGCCCAACTTTACTAAGGTTGTGTGATGCATGTTTTATGGCCAATTTTTCATTTCCAACTCAATGGTATTGGTTATAAGACTATCAGGTACGGCTTAAGTCACTTTCTGGTGAAGTTCAGGTCAAGGTCAGGTCAAGGTCAGGCCAAAAAAGGTCAAATTTTAAAGTTGATAGTTTTGCATAAAATGGGTATTGATTCGATGCAGCTCGTCACGGGGAGTCTAATGGTGGTCTTTGTTTTGCGCTACGGGGTCTAGAACTGCTAAAAATTGAGTTTGAAAATTTGACGTCATCAATTTTGAACAGTTTTTTCGCTATAACTTCGCCAAAAAAAGAGGTATCGATCTCAAATTTTGTATGTGGATGGAAGGCGGTAAGGACTATCACATATATTCCGGTTTTTGCGAAATTCAAAAAACTTTTTGGATTTTTCGATTATTATATGCAAAAAAATTATTTTTTGATTTTGGGGGGTCAAAATCCAAAAATTTCAAAAATCCGAGATAGCAGTTTTGTAGCCCTGTTGATTCTACAGCTTTTATGTCTTTATCATTTTTCTGTATTTGCAAAGCTATAGGCCTGACAGCTCTTCCCGCGAAACCCTTTTTTGGGTCGAAAACGGCAGAACATGACGTCACTCTGACGTCATTTCCGGCCAACCTATCATAGCCTTTGAAAAAAATTTTGGTCACAATGTGTAAAATTGATGTCCGGGAGGGTACTGAAAGTTTGGTGACGATCAGCGCAGCGGTTCTGGAGATATATCAAAAAGTCTGGAGGGGGGGGGCAAAAAATAGCCCCCCCCCCACCAGGGCGCGGGTTAAGGCTGTGTATGATAACAAAGTACCTAGTAACAATAATAACGAAAAACAATGTCAAAACGAGGGTGGCTTGTTTAGTGACGATGCTCAAAAGAGGCATCGTCTTGTTCCTACTTAACGAATGAAGCTCAAACTAGGTCAAAACTAACGTATTGCTCAACCCATAGTCAGATGACCAGCAGATCCTACGCCGCCCAATCCAGTCATCGAATTTGCCAGCGAATTCGTTTGAAGACCATCATATTATTAAATATCGGTGGTCTTCAAACGAAATCCCTTACCAGTTTGATGACGGATTCATCCGGCCCATTCCAAAAACGCTCAAGATAAAATAAAAGTGTATTTCTGAAATAATGTGCTTTCTTGCAATGCACCTTTCGTATATCAAGCGAACCTTTCACTTCCAGCGCCCGTTTACAGTTATCAATCGAATTAGAAGCATGCACATACCTATCGATAGATCTGAACCTAAGAACACAGAAGACATTTTGTAGAGTACCTGTCTGAGCCTATGCAGTGGAGCCCGTGAGCCGCCCAACCGCAGCTGCCTCATGAACTTGATGATAGGTCTGAACCTCAGATTGGCCAGAGCTTGGCCGTCAATAACCAGCTTATTTACATCCACAGTTGTAGTGACTTAGGGTTTGGAATTTGCCAAACCTAAGTTTTGATTACCAAGAGAAGTTTTGCTTCTTGCACTTGCCTTTTCTTCATAACTTTGGCGGAAATCGTCGTAGTGAAACTTCAGTGTTCCGTTAGCTGTCGGTTCTTGAGAGAGTTGGCCAGGCCGGACACCGGGGGCGGCTCCACAACTTTCGAAAAATCAAACCTAAGTCCTATTGCACTGCATGGAGAGCAATTCATTTAAAATCGCTCTTGTTCCCCCCCCCCCGTCGACAACTTTGCAAACGTCTCTGCGCGATTTGGTTGAGAATAATGGCTTATGGCAAGTTATTGAATCAGAACGTCGATCACTGCAGGTCATATATCGGCAAGCAATTCTTCATAACTAGACACTGCACAAATGGAAACGATACAGGTTTGCCCAGTGATAAACACTCGCACTGCACAGACGCGCGCACTCCCGACCGAACGCGGCACGGCACAGCGCAACTGGCGCCGGGAAGCCGGGAACGCATTAAGTGAAGGATTCACAGGTGCGCAACTTTATTGCGAACAATAAAAACCTAACGCAAACGATTAAAAAAAAAGCTTTAGTGCAATCGGAAATACAAATGTATTGACTTATAGAAATAAAATTGTCATTCACCTTCCAAATAACCCAACAATTTATTTGCCGTAAAAAGTGTCTGGAAATGGAAAGTTGCAAACATGATTCAGCAAGTAGGGAAACGCAGCAGCTACCTGGCGAATAATCTCAGGCTGGTTTAGTGACGAGTGCATTGCTACGGCTTGTTCCTCACCCTTCACAGATTACTATGACAAAACTACCCCTAGTATTTTGATCATCCTGAGCCTGGCTTTCACCTAATAATTTGATGAGGGTCTTCCTCGTTTCGGATTGAGGCGAAAACAAACGTCAAACAACCTTGATAGTTAATTCAGCACTTCAAAACAAAGGTACACCTAGGGTATCATTACAATACCGGATCATAACGATCTGGATAGTTATCAGCCTGTAAGCTAACTAAGCGGTAACTAGTCAAGTGGTAGGTACCGGAAGCATTGACAACCTGGTGACTGTTTCGAGACCCTTGTTTTGACACATAGCTCGTCAATATTTTTTACAGTGTGGCGCCATCAGACCTCACTGCCGGTTACTGATCGGACATTGAGCCGCGTATGGCGCAGCGCGACGCCCTGGAACCTAGCCGCTCTGCAAAGAGCCTCCAGGGACCTCTCAGTATCTGAACGGAGCGTCTTCAGCGGACATTACGGAGCATTGGACCGAATGGATAGACACTTGATATGACGACCCGCCGGGGATCGTTCGAGACAAATGACGAGAAGTCGGGGCCGGGGAATATGGTTGCCGGGATGATGACAAACTTGAGGAAATGATGGCACTTCGATGGCGGAATGCGAGGGATATTACACGATGGGACGGTTGGGATATGGCATTGCGACAGCACACTGGGATCACATGGAAGTTGGGGCATTCCATGTCAACCGGGACAGCCAAAATCGGCCACCTCTGCGATTTTGTTCAAACTTGGTATACTTATAGGCTATTGGGTGAAACCTCTGAGGGTGAAAGGATTTTGTCATATGCCCTCGGGCTACAGAGATACAAGTCGCTAAACTTTTGCTTTTTGAGCAGAATTGGACGTGTATTGCAATCTTGAAAGATCTATAGCTTCAACATTTTTGAAGCTATTGATTTCAAACAAACTGAAACGTGTACATAAGGAGTTATGCTAGTTAAATTTGACAATTTTTACATTTTTTGGTGATTTTGAATTTATTTTATTTTGAATTAATTTCTTAAAATGTTATTTGTGAAAAATGGATACCCTTCGATTTCGCTCAAATTTAGATATTGTCTTCCACTACACGTAAGGCACACGTGCTGAGAAAATTAGAGTGGGCCAACGATAACTTTGGATGATATAGCAACAAGTAGTGCAACGTAGCACGGGCGGTGGAAGAGGCCGATTTCGCTAACTC